AAAAAAGAACATCACATGTTTTTCAACTTTTTTCCTCCACCAGAGTGGGCACAGGAATAAAATGAAACAACTGTAACCCCCCAGAGCACCTTTCTGAGAAAAGCAGGCCCTGCACGCAGCTGGCCCAGAATCTATCACCAGTCTCTTCAGGTTATGTCCCATTTTCACATTTCAAGAACAGATGTTCAACTATTGCTCCTGTCTCTTATTTTCATTCTCTAATACTCCACAGCCTGAGTACAGATGTTCTGGTCTTCCTTGTGTCTTTTAAAGAATGAGATATAATTGACCTAGAACATTCTATTAGCTTCAGGTGTACAGCATAATGATTCAGTATTTGTGTTTATTGTGGAGTGATCACCGTGGTAAATCATCACACATAGTAACAGGATTGTTTTTCTTGGGTTGAGAACTTTTAGGGTTTACTCTCTTAGCAACGTTCAAATATGCAATACAATAGTATTAACGGCAGTCACCCTGCTGTGTATTATATCCGTAGGACTTATTTATTTTATAACTTGAAGTTTGGTCAACAGGTACAAGAGTCTGTGTATTTTAAGCTACCATTTTACAATTTAGGTTCTTTACAACCTTTTTGCGTGTGTGTGTGTGTGTGTGTGTGTGTGTGTAGTTTTTTACGAACACAGGCAGAAAATCTTGAGATTTGTTTCTTCATTTAAATTTTTTTAATGTTTATTTATTTTTGACACAGAGAGAGACAGAGCATGAGTGAGCAATGGGCAGAGAGAGAGGGAGATACAGAATCCCTGGAGGCTCCAGGCTCTGAGCTGTCAGCACAGAGCCTGACGCGGAGCTCGAACTTGTCAACTGTGAGATCATGACCTGAGCCGAAGTCGGACTCTCAACTGACTGAGCCACCCAGGCGCCCCTGTTACTTCATTTATTTGCTTTGGAGGGTCCCTCACTCACAGGACAAAAGTCACAGTGCCTGGCATGAAGCAAGTGCTCAGTGTTTGTTGACTGACTACATTTAAGATGGGTTACTCTGTGACTCCTGAAGTACACTGCTTTGTCTTTGAGCTGTGATGTTGCTCGCTTTTCTGGAAAAATTAATTCATCCCTTCAACTATTTAACAAACAGTGAGTTTCCACGAGTGAGTTTCCATGAATCAGACATTAGGGAAGCCCAGGCAAGAAATCTTGTCGTATCCTAATGTAAGAAATAATTGAGCTTCCCTGAGTCCCTAGTTTTGTTTTTGTCTTTCATTGAGGTGACATTCTCATAACATGAGTAGAACCATTGGAAAGCGTACCATTGAGTGGCATTTGGTACAGTCACCATGTTGTGCAACCTCCACCCCCATCTGGTTCTGCAGCGATCTCATCACCTCCAGGGAGGCTGGTACCCACTGAGCAGTTTTGCCCCAATCCCCTCCCCAGCCCCTGGCAGCCATTAACCTGCTTTCTGTCTTTGGGATTATCGCTTGCTTTGGATTTAAAAGGAATGATGGCAGGGGCACCTGGGTGGCTTAGTCGGTTGAGCACGTGGCTTCGGCTCAGGTCATGATCTCATGGTTCGTTAAGTTCAAGCCCCACATCAGGCTCTGTGCTGTCAGCTCTGTGCTGGAACCTGCTTCAGATTCTGTGTCTCTCTCTATCTCCACCCCTCCCTGACTTGCTGTGTCTCTTTCTTTCTCAAAAATAAGTAAAAACATTGAAAATCATAAAAGGAATGATGGCATTGAACTTGCCTAAGAAACTCTGGGCTTTCCATCGGAGAGCAGTTTAGACTATCCCCTGCTCCAGGGCCGGGAGATGGTCATGGAGGAGTGAGGGGTCATCCACGCTGTCAGTGGATAACCCTCCACGGGCAAAGGCCACCATGCAGTTAGTTGCAGCTGCTGTCAGATGCGCAGAATTCGCGTAGAATCTGCTTCCTGATGCCAAGATGCTTTTTCTAGGATGGTCGGTCCTGATGTTATTCCACTCCCACATATCTACGGAGCGCGAATCAAAGGTGTGGAAGTGTTCTGTCCTTTGGACCCCCCGCCTCCCTATGAGGCTGTGGTGAGCCAGACGGACCAGGAGCAGGTACAGTCTATAGTTTCTCCTTGGTACCTTGACTGCTAGTAGGAGGTGCAGCATGGGGCACAGAGAATGGTGGGAGACTGGGCCCTGCACTTGCTTTGAAGTTCAGTGGAGTCCAGATGGGGGTGGGGTTGAGTATCACCAGATAACCCTCTTTTCTCCTGTGACGTAGGGATCTTCATTCCACATGCCAGAAGGATCAGAAGGTGCCATGAGCCCCTTGGAGCCAATCTGCATGCCAGTGACTCGAGGTAATAAACATTATCACTGCTCAAACTCAGGGTTCAGTAGCGTAAGATACAAAATGGTGACCTATATGATACTTTGTTGGGGGTCAGATACCTTGGAGCCAATGGTCCACACTGTATCCTTTGTCCAGGTGTAAAAGTACTGTCAACAATTAGGGTTGGCAAGTGAGAGATACTATGTAAACAGAAATAAAGATATCCTTAGAATTTTTTTAGGAGTGGGGTGCCTGGCTGGCTCAGTCGGTTAAATGTCCAACTTCGGCTCAGGTCACAATCTCACAGTTCATGGGTTCGAGCCCCGCGTCAGGCTCTGTGCTGACAGCTCAGAGCCTGGAGCCTGCTTGGGATTCTGTGTCTCCCTCTCTCTCTGCCCCTCCCCTGCTCGCACTCTGTGTCTGGCTCCCTCTCTGTGTCTGGCTCCCTCTCTTAAAAATAAATAAACATGACAAAAAAAATTATAAGAATCTTTGAGGAGTAACAAGGCTCTTCACCCTGTGAAATGGATTATAGATTATAATTTGGCAGTCCAATGTTTTCCCATCTCAGATTTTCTTTCTCCTGTTAAAATAAGCTGGGCTCTTTTTAAAGGGAAAAAGGAGTTTTGTTGATTTCAGGATGATGATCTGTGAGATTGCGCTGTCATTTTTAACCTGGGGTCTATGTCACGGTGCCTTCACACAGAATGAATGCTGATTTTCAGTCCTGCCTCAAAACGCTAGAGTCAGTTTACAGCTATCCTTGTCCTTTAAGGGAACACTGTTACAGCTTTCTTTCTTTCTTTGGAGAGGTTTTAAATGGCCCAGAAAACTGTCCACCAGCACAAAATGGCAGTGGTGATAAATAATGGATCAAGTGTGGCTATTTTCGACGGAGGTGAATTTTCAGTGGCGCCGTTTGGAACAGGTCTCTGTTCTGCTCACCTTCCATCTTGGAATAATGCAGCTGCGTTCTCCCTCCTAAGCATGTTTGGGATTCTTCCACTTCTTAAAAAAAGTTACCCAGACCACACTCAGGCTCACAAATGACGTGATTTGGTCATGCTGAACAGAAGTCACCCGTTTCTTGAGTGGTTTTACCTATCTGCTCAGCGGCCCTGGCTCTTTCCCTTGGCCTTCAGGAGTTCCCGAGCATGGCCTCCACTCTAGGCCGTGCAAATGCCTCGTCTTTCTGCCTTTGGTCTGCAGCCCTCACAGTCACCTTACCCGGGCAGGCATGTACTTCCACCCACGCAAGCTCACCCTGAATTCTCAGAAACAGGGAAAGCGGCCAGGAGCTTTCCCTGGAGAAGATTCTAACACTCTTAGGAAAACAAACACGCGCACACACACACACACACACACCCTGACATTTTGGAATGGCTTCTTTATTTTGCTCTGCTCTTCGACTTAAAGTTTTTTGTTTGCTTGTTTTAGGTGTGGAGGGATGGTTTGGAGAGGCAGCGGTTCCCACAGTGCTGGGAAGTAAAAACTCACTGGGCCGGGAGCCGAAGCAAATGTTGTTCACTGTATTTTCCTGCCCTTACAGGTTGGGGCTCACAGGTGTTTCCTGCCCAACATTTTGAAGGCGGCAGCTGGTGAAATAATGTGCGTTTCTCTTTTTTTTTAAAAAAAGAATCAGGTGGGGACAGTCCTAACATACCTGGAGAAGAAAGTGGATCCATGTCAGCGCCCGATGCAAACCAGCTGCGTCCTGCGGGAAGCCGGAGAGCCCCGCCGCAGCTGAGGGCGAGATCCAGGAGCGACCCTGTGCTCCATCATTCCGCGGAGAGAGGTGATGGCACTCCCCAAGCTACTTGCAGGGCCCCATGCACGTGTTTGCCCAAAGGTGCCTGGTGAAAGCTGGGGGTGGGGTGGGGGCAGTTTAAGAGATGTCTAGAAAGAGGTTAAGAGGTCTTGGGAAAATAAGATATTCTGCATGCACATTAGGAAGATATATCTGCCCCATCTTTTAAGACTGGTATTGAGTTTTTCTTTTTTTTTTTTTTTTTTAAACGTTTATTTATTTTTGGGACAGAGAGAGACAGAGCATGAACGGGGGAGGGGCAGAGAGAGAGGGGGACACAGAATCAGAAACAGGCTCCAGGCTCTGAGCCATCAGCCCAGAGCCTGACGCGGGGCTCGAACTCACGGACCGCGAGATCGTGACCTGGCTGAAGCCGGACGCTTAACCGACTGCGCCACCCAGGCGCCCCTGGTATTGAGTTTTTCAAGTCATTGTTAGCAAAAGCATTTGGTTGCACATGACCGTGGAGTGCTACTATGTGAAGAAAACAATGCAAACCTGACTCTGATTTCTGGGTGCTCACAGTCCTGTGGAAATAAACCTTCTCTCTGAAGGAAAAAGTTAAAGGGCTGTATTTTTTTACCCTCTCTCTTTTGATTTATCTTTTTTTTTTTTTTTTTTTTTTTTACTGTGTATGAGTACTTGAGTTATTTAAATCTGGCTTGTTTTGAGAACTTTAGACAGAGTGAGACTCACTCCAGTTTTCTCCCTCTCCATTTTGAGTTTGTGTGTAGATGTTATTTGAATAATTTTATTTTTTTTATTTTTTATTTTAAAAAAAATTTTTTTTTCAACGTTTATTTATTTTTGGGACAGAGAGAGACAGAGCGTGAACAGGGGAGGGGCAGAGAGAGAGAGGGAGACACAGAATCGGAAACAGGCTCCAGGCTCTGAGCCATCAGCCCAGAGCCCGACGCGGGGCTCGAACCCACGGACCGCGAGATCGTAACCTGGCTGAAGTCGGACGCTCAACCGACTGCACCACCCAGGCGCCCCAGAATAATTTTAAATCAAAAAAATTTTTTTAATTAAAAATTTTTAAGTAAAGTTTTTTTTAACGTTTATTTTTGAGAGAGTGCATGCAAATGTATGCACGTGGGCAGAGGAGGAGCAGAGAGAGGGAGGCAGAGAGTCCAAAGTGGGCTCCACACTGACTGCAGAGGGCCTGATGTGGGGCTCGAACCCATGAACTGAGAGATCATGACCTGAGCCGAGGTCAGATGCTCAACCAACTGAGCCACCCAGGCACCCCCCAAATTTAAAAATTTTTAAAAATTTAAAGAACATTGAGTCCTTTTTCTGGATACATGAATACCTGAATGCGTGAATACCAAATAGCTCTTCATTGTGGAAAATCGTAAAAAATAAAGGAAATAAAGGAAGACAATGAAACTGTAAGGCCACCAGTACAGGCTTCTTTCGGTGACCTGTTCTAACAAGTAGCCTCCGCTCTCCTGAAGCTCGATGCAAATACGACTTTGCAAACGCTCTCCCCCTGCTCTCTCTGGGGCCCCGTGTTGTCCTCCCCCCACTTGTAGTGTTGGTTCTGTCCCTCTGACAGCCTGTGTTGTTTGCCACAGCTCTGGACTGACCTTGTGGGCGCCAGAGGGAACATTCCTCTTGTCTTCTGTGCTGGAGGAGTCCCACCGCCTGGGACTGAGCACCTCTGCAAGCCCACAGGCCAGCAGCCGGGCCCCTCAGCTCCCCAAGCCCATTTCACAGAGGGTCTCTACCCTACCTGGCGAGTTGAGGACTCGAGCTGGCCACCTGCCTGCTTCCCCGGGAACTTGGCTGTCTGAACAGCTTAGTGAGATCCTTCCAGAGCCCCTCCCCCATTCTGCAGCGCTGCGGGGCAATGATGACACATGTTTACCTGTTGGAGCCCTCAATCGTAGAAGGGACCAGATTGCCTTCCAGTGACAGTGTGCAGTCCCTGACCATCCTCACACATGAGTGTCTGTAGGGACCATTTCTGAAAACCTCCTGCTCTGTGTGGGAACATGCACATGGCAGCCTGGAGGATGCCACTAACCCCTGTTTGGCGCTCCCCATGTCTACTTTTCTCCAGAGGAAAAGGAGTGCTCCCCTTCCTCCTGTTCTCCCACCCTCCGCCTCCTTTCTTCCTCGAATATCAAATTTCCGCTTGTCAGGCCTTCACAGACTCAATTCTCCAGTGTCGTGTATGCTGAGGGCTGCTGGCTGGCTGACGAAAACGTGGAGACCAGGTCTGAGTTTCACTTCACCCACTTGATGGTGCAGTAATGCTCTGCTGGTCCTGAAACCCTTCTGATGTAGGTAGCTGTGGAAATTAGGGCCTGTGGTGGATCTCCCAGGCCACGTGTTGACTTCAAGAATGACATGTGATTTTTCTGCACCTAGATTTTTCTCTCCTTAATAGTCAGCCATAGAGCTACCTCCCAGCCATGGTGTGAGCATCCATAAGTCAGCACCATGCCCTGAGGATGTTTAGGGCAAAGGTACAGTCACAGGGAGCAGAGCACTCCATTCATCCCACAGTCTTGTCTCTCCTCAGTCTAAGTGCCACCTTCACCTTCCCCTCCGCCCCTTGGAACATTCTTTCATCGGGCTGGCCATCTCTTTTCCTGTTTCCTGCTCGCCACCCATCCCCACTTACCGGTCATTACTCCATGGAACCATTGCTCCGTTGCAGTTTGCATTCTGGATGCTCTTCTCTGTCATCTGTCTTCAGCTTGGTGGTTGTGTTTTATGTGGCACAATAAAATGCTTTGGGGACATGTCCTTTTGGAACTTCAGGGAATACGTTTGTGTCGTCGTCGTTGTTGTTTTCCTTTTCCCTCTGCAAGACGAAAAGCAAGACGTGCATGGTCATTGGCATTTGCAACATGCTTTCCACGCCAAGTTTAGTGGCCCTCACTGTCTCCGTCCAGGCGTGTGTTCACGGGGGCATGGCCAACGGGCATGTATTGTCTGTCTCTGCCCACAGCTGCCCCGGTGCTCAGCTGTGAAGCTGCCACGCAGACAGAGGGAAGACCGCAGCTGGCCACAGTGACTTTGAGGAGAGGTCTGAGATGCAGAGCCTCGCGATGCCGGCCTCGGTCCCTGATAGATTACAAGTCCTACATGGACACCAAGCTGCTGGTGGCCAGGTTCCTGGAGCAGTCCTCCTGCAGTATGACCCCGGACATCCATGAGCTCGTCGAGAACATTAAATCTGTTCTGAAGTCTGACGAGGAGCACATGGAGGAGGCCATCACGAGTGCCAGTTTCCTCGAACAGGTAGTTTTATTACTCGTCTCGGGCGCGAGTCGGAGAACTTGTTTCCGTGGCAGCTGAGGCAGCTTTTCTGATCTCCAGTCCAAGGCACATAAGTTCCTGGTCATGTATCAAGGGAATTGGGATTGTTAGGAGGTCTGGGGAGGGAGAGAGACGAAGCTGAAGCACTTTCTTTTCAGGTGTGATGACTTTTCCACAGGCTCCTTGGCCCAGGGAGAGAAAGTGATTTTCCTAGGACGTGGAAGCACTCCTGGGAAAAGAAAGGGGTGCAGCTCGGGCAGAAGAGCAAGGAGTCTGGGCATTGATTGATAGGGCATGGTTTCTCAGCCCTGTGACAATGATGGACATCCCTGAATTTTAAAATTGGCAGCATTCTGGGAGCTGTTGATATTCCCACGAAGTACTGGCAAGATATCTAAACCAATAGGACTTAAAGGAATAAATGCCTTTTCCTCTGCATAGATTAAAAACTACAAGGCAATTCCCTAATCTGAAGTCACCCAGTGGAAAGATAACATTGGGCACGTAATATAATCCATTTGGGTGTCCGTTTTCTCATTTTTACCTATTTTATTTGATTATTTAATGTGTATTTATTTATTTTGAGAGAGAGAGAGACAGAGAGAGAGAATCTCAAGCAGGCTCTGCACTATCAGCACAGAGCCCGATGTGGGGCTCAGACTCATGAACCGTGAGATCATGACGTGAGCCGAAATCAGGAGTCGGGCACTTAACTGACTGAGCCACCTAGGTGCCCCAGTTTTCTCATTTTTTAAAAAAGTGAAGCCTTGGACTGGGTGGTCTCCACCCCTGTGCCTCTGAACGAAGAGGGTTTGCTCCTGATGAGAACTGCGGACGGGTCACAGCTTTAATTACCCACCTCTTTTAAAAGCCATTATGTTTTAGGCACTTACTTTGTTGCCCCTTGTATGAGGGGCGGCCATGGTAGATCTCAGAGCACAGTGGCTCACGGGTGATGCCTGCTGGTGTCTGTGTGCATTAAGTGCCCAACGCATACCCTGGGCTGCTGGGCCCAAGGGAAGTTGCCACAGGGTCCTCGGTGAGTTGTTAAGACGGACAAAGTCCCTGTTCATCTTCCTTTCCGTTTCCCCTTTCTACCTGCTGGCCTCTTTTGACAGAAGCCAGTTTCTCTCCTGGCCCCTCAGGGGACCCAGGGGAGTAGAAGAGACATCTGATTACTCACTTGAGCAGGTACGTGAACTGGAGACCCTCTTGTTGGCTGTTTTCTAAACCAGTGGTCAGCCTGTGGTCTTGGGTCAGGCTCTCGTTAGCGTCTGTGTAGGGGAGACATTTACATCCTCATATCCCCGGGCCCACGCCGGAAGTCATTCCCTACCTCCTCCTCTCTGTCCAGCCCCGACAGCCCGAGAAACAGCAAGCATTTGGAGCCACTTGTGCAAGGCTGCCAAGCCCTAGGGAGGTGAGAGCTGGCGTATCTGCCAAGCCATTGGTGTGGACCTTCTGCACGGGCTCCTCTGGAAAACAGCTCTGGGGAAAAAGAACAAGCACTTTCAGTTCGACAGATGCTGTCACCGCGAATGTCTGCTGGGTCTTTGTGCCAAGTCTGGATAAAAGTTCAGGCACTGGGATTGCTGCAGTGGACTCCGGGTCATCTGCTGGCTCCTTCCAGGAGTGGCCCCCAGCGGTGATGTGTTGTAATGTCACGTCTCTCCCCAGACAGAAGGAAGTAGGGACAAGCAGAAGGAGAGCTTTTATTTATGACTCCACTCAGCTTTGCACATTTTTACTTTTCCTGGTATTACTAGAATGCGTTTTTAGAGCCATTTTAATTTTTATCTGTGTCAAAACCACTTGCCCTAATTTACACGTAATGACAATTGACGTCTATGATTGCTGGAGTTTTCTTTTTAACCAGAAGGACAAATATAATAACAGTATGGTAGCAAAATTTAATGTCCCATCCCTTGGAGGGATTTTCTTCCCATGACCTTAAAATCTCAGAATGGTACAGGGGTGCCCTGGTGGATCAGTCGGTTAAGCGTCCGGGTTCAGCTCAGGTCATGATCTTACTGTTCCTGGGTTCGAGCCCCACGTTGGGCTCTGTGCTGACAGCTCGGAGCCTGGATCCTGCTTCAGATTCTGTGTCTCCCTCTCTTTCAGCCCCTCCCCCGCTCATGCTCTCTCTCTCTCTCTCTCTCTCTCTCTCTCTCTCTCTGTCAAACATTAAAAAAATTTTTTTTTAACTCTCAGAATGGTATAAATGAGACAAAAAGTCATCCCAATGATTGTTTTCTGATAGAACAATCACAGGTAATAATGAAGCACCTGGGTTTTTCTAAAGTCACTAACAGTATTACAGGTCATATAGTCATGACTGTGCCGCTTCTGGAAACTTCCATGTACCTACCCGACAATTCTCCCCTCGTCAATCCCAATTGGATGAGGAATTCCCTGTATTTTTGCCATTTTACGAAGTAAGCGCTATTCTGACATGTTTAAAGTCACATATGTGCTCCACTGCAAAACAGATCGAGCAGTAGAACCATTCTGAAACATTTTTACAAATAGAGTGGCTTAGTTTTTATGTTGTTTATTGTGTTTTTTATCCAAGGGTTGTCAGGTCGATTGGAAGCGTCGCTGGTTTTGGTTGACATTTTCTAACCTCATTAGCTGGACTCCATGCCAGATTGGTAGTTACTCACTTTTCAAGCACATTGCTGTCACCTGGGCTCCTGTTAGAACTACTGATGCTCCAGCCCCATGTCACAATTGCTGTCGGGGAGCTGGGAATCCATGTCACCAGCTCCTGTCCCCTCCAGAAACGTGGAGACCCGGGAGGTAAAGTGAGGCAGGTGGGCAGCCGACACCCTAGAAAATTGGGGAATTTCGTAGGAACGTTAGAAAAGAGGCAGTCTGTTGAAAGCATCTGTGAATTCCAGTTGTGTTCCACATGGGGAAAACAGCCTATTTTCTTTTCCAAAGCAACTGAGCTACAGAGTGCATGGATGGATAGAGGAGGCCGGTTGCAGGGACCTCATGTGGTGAAGCTTAACGTGTCCCTCACCCTCTTCTTCTCCCCAAGATCATGGCCCCGTTGCAGCCCAGCACTTCCAGGGCCCACGTGCCACCCTCCCGGAGACAGCCTGGACTCTTGCACCTGCAGAGCTGCGGGGACCTCAGCACCTTCGTCCCGGCGGGGAGGCCGAGAGCCCAGAGGAGGCCCCGGCGAGCGGAGGCCGAGCGGCCCCACAGCCTCATCGGCGTCATCCGGGAGACTGTCCTGTGAACCTGTGAGGCCAGGCCCCCGGGGGGGGCAGGACGGAAGATGGACCCGGAAGGAGGAATGATCCCCAACCACGGGGTCCCCTGGCTGGGAGTTGGCGCGCCCTCCGGGAACTCCTTAAAAGGGGGGGGCATGCTGGAGGACATTTGTCCCCCCTCTCCGGCACCTCGTTCTGCTGACTGAGCGCATTCAGGGGTGGACAGGCAGGTTCTTCCGGGCACTTTTGGCTTTTGGATGCACAGATCTGGAGGCCTCTGCCAGGTCACCTGGGCAGAAAGTGGGCTAGTGATTCTTTGCCCACCTCACGCCCCGTGGCTCTCTTCCTCGCTGCGTGCCTCCCTCAGTGGAAGGACAGATCTGCTGGGCCGCTCTTGATAGCTCCCGCAGCCTTTCGCTGCTCCCTGGGAGAGCAGTGGGCACAGAGGCAGGACGATTAACCCCCATGTTTTCTGCACTTGTCAAGCTTCATTTTAGGTCACCCTCAAATCACAGTCTCTTTAGGAAAAACGGGGAACTCATTCAGTGAAAATCGTAACGAAAGACGTTTGGGAGAGGGTCTTGTTGATTCCATTTACTCGTGCTTGCGAAACTAGAGATGGATAAGGCCTGGCGGAGAATAAAAATGAGTACTTTGGACCTCTGGGCTCGGTGTATACCATTTGCACGTGTCTAGGTGACCTAGGCCTTTCCTTAGGAAGGGCTGAACACTTGAAGCAGAGGTGGGCAGCTGCTCTGGTCCAGGCAGACCACCAAACCGGCTTCATCTCCAAAGCACCATCCCCCTGGGGATCACAACACGACCTTCGTTCATTCAGGCAGCGCTTGGCTGAGTGGCTTCAGGGAACGGCTTCCTTCTAGCTGGGCCGTGAGCAGCAGATCAGTCATTATAGACTGGGGATTCATGCGAAGAAGGGAGAGAAGGTTTCTTTGAAGAGCTGATGTTTGAGCAGGGCTCGACTGAGAGTCAGGGAAGGCTGCTGCAGGAGGAGCGAATGGCCAATGCAACCCTCAGCGCTAGAGGCCAATGGGAGCAGAGAGAGGGCAGAGGTGGGAGGAGCCTCAGGCTGGATTTCCCTGCTAACCGCGAGCTACCCCGGAAGAGTTTTCAATTGGAGTAACAGATTCCATTTACATTTCAAGAGATCAGGTGCAGCTGGAGAATAGTTTAGTTTGGGGGCTGAGGCTATAAAAGGAGAGACTGTCTTCCTTGCCAGGCCCTGCGTGTGCTCCGGGGACTGTGGTAGGGGGACTTCCAAGCTCTCGGTTCACCTCCCGACGGCCAAAGAGGTGGGTGCTCTTCCTGGTCCCATTTTACAGATGAGGAAGATGAGGTTCCATAACTTGCTCAAGGTGCCTCAGCCCTTCAGGGGTAGAGATGTCGTGCCCACCCGAGCAGCCCCTCCGGAAGCCACGGTCTCTCTCCACCTCCCGAACAGGTGCAGTCTGACAGTTCCCGTTTCTTTCACGCAGTGCTTGCTGAGGCCTCTAGCTAGGCTGACGGAAGCACAGACTCTTCTGGCTGCAAGCCGCCAGGCTAGAGTGGGAATTGCAGCGGGGCCCCTGGAGGGGCTGAGTAAGGAAGAGGGGGGAAGACCGTTTGGAGGCGCTGGTTGGGGTGGGTGGGGAGCACTGGCTGTGGAAGCAGAGCCGGACGCGAGGGAGAGCTGGGGGGCTGGCAGGCTGCTCTGGGGCGGGCGGGCTGTGTTTGTGGAGGAGGTTGACGGCGGCTTCCCCACCTGCAGTTTCTCTGTTCTCCTCCCCCACCCCCAGGCATTGGACTCTCTGTGGCAGCAAGTAATGTCTTCATTTTTCTAGAAGCCCTCGCCGTCAGCCTCGCAGCTGCCCACTGGGGGTTGGTCCGCTTCCCTGGGGTGGGGGTGGGGGGGGCAGGGAGGGTCTGGCTTTTCTCACATCTCTAGGTTTATGATCTCTCCCATTCTGGGAGGGCATTGTCTTTAGCCGCATCCGTCTTCTTCCCCTCCTGCACCATTACCTCCAACTGCCACTGAGGGCCTCCTCACCCGGAAGGCTCAGAGAAGGGGGGTGGGCACCTCACGTGCACACAGCGTCCGCCTCTCTAGCCTTGGAGGACCACAGAGGTGGTGACAAAGCATCTCAAATGTAGTTATCAGAATGACCCCAGAGGGTTGACTGATTGGCGTGAGGGGTTTTTAAAATACATTTTCACTGGCGAGGTACAAGATGTGTGGCTGGGCAGGAGCCTTGCGTGGGTACCGTCGCCTCTGCTCCCATGGGGAGTAAGAATCGGGTCCCCACTTCGTGAGACTGTCCTGGGATGGATCAGGACACGGGCTGCTCCTTCATAATGTTGGCATCTGTACCTCACCCTTTCACACAAGCTGCGTGTCCAAGTGTCTGAAGACCGAGTGGGACTTTCCCAAGGTTCCAAACTGTTCTGCACAGACATGCCAGTGAGTCTTTGTGTCTGGCTGGCGGAATTTCTTTGAAGATCTGCTTTCTTTGGAACAGCCTACCCAATGGTGAGATTAGGGAGAGGGGTCCGTGGCTGGAACTGCACAAGGCTGCCCATATTTGCCAAAAGAACCAGACATTTGCTGAACAGCTGCACTGGGAAGGTCCAATCCATCTACACCCCCAATTTGCACATGAGGAAACTGAGTCTCAGAGCAGAAGGAGACCAGTAATTCTGGCTCCAGGACCAGGGCTATGGGTGCAGGTCAGAGCTTCTCAGACTATTGGGGATGAAAGACTGATTTTTTCCCCCCTCCAATCTGTCATGGACCAAAAGCTTTTGTGAATTATAGACTGAGTGAAAACCGTGTTAGTTGACTAGGCCTGTTACGACAGCCTACCAAAGACTGGGTGACTGGAGACATAGAAGCTTTATTTCTCACAGTTCTGGAGCCCCTGAAGTCCAAGGTCAAGGTGCTAGCAGATTCGGTGTCGGGTGAGAGCACCCCCCTTCCTGGCTTGCAGATGGTGGGCTTCTTGCTGTGTCCTCCTGTAGTGGAAAGGGAGGGAGGGGGAGAGAGGGCAGGCGGGAAGGAAGAAAGAAGTCTGTTCCTCTTTTTCCTCTTCTGAGGGCACTAATCCCATCGTGGGGGCACCACCCTCATAACCTCACCTAAACCCAATTATTTGCCAAAGGCTTTGCCTCCAGATACCAACACTCTTGGCATTAAGGCTTCAACAGATGGACTTTGAGGGACGTGAACATTCAGTCCACAGTACTGATTGACCAGGAAAATGAAATCATAGTAAGGAAAAAAACACAGAAAGATGTAACCTCCCAGCCTTTACTTTTTTAGAGCAGTTTGAGGTTTAGAGCAAATTGAACACCAAGTACAGAGATCTCTCCTACAGCTCCGGCCCCTAGGCATGTACCATTTCCCCCGGGCCCCGCCCCCCCCCCCCATCAGCATCTCACACCCCGGCGCTGCATTTCCAGAACTTACTCTTGTCAGGGGCCAGGAACAAAGCGTTCTTGGCCTGGGTCAGTGGCCTGCACTCTGCGTGGAGCATGTTGGGATTCCTCCCCTAACCCCACTTTCAGCCCTGAGTCTGTTTTGTGTGCGGGGCCCTGGGGACACGGATGAGGAAGCCTGGGAGTGGGAAGATGGGCAGACACCCTTCCCTCCACACCCATGTGTCTCTGAGGCTGCAGTCACATTTAAGACCTTTGGCAAGCCCCTCAGGATTCGGGAGAGCTGGCAGAGGAAAGAAGTAGCTCCTGTCTCCACCCAGCTTTTGGGGAAACAGAACAAAGTAGCACATCTCCACCCTCGCCACCCCTCCACTCCCCCCACCAAAGGAGGGTGCAAAAGAGAACAGTGAAGGGGGTGAGGGAGGGACCCGGACAAGGGCATCTTTGTTTACGTGGTGTTGCTCCCTGCCGCTGCTGCAAGGGAAGCCAAGTCTGGGGCCACAAGGCACCACATTGCTTCCATTTCTCTCTCCCAGAAGGCGCCATCACCTTCCCACTCACTCAGCAGGTGTTTATTGAGCTCCAGAGTCCAGGCAGCCGGCCAGGTGCTGGGGAAAGACTGCTCAGAGGAGAGAGGGGGCAAATAAAGTCTACAAATAATAAATGCAAGTTACATGTCTCTGGGCTGCTGCTGAATGGCTCCCTGACCCCAAGGGACAGTCTTTTGGTCACCTGGGAAGACTGAAGGTCCTGGGCCTGATTTATCAGGATGGTTTGAAGGATCCTTCATCCTTGACTGTGAACAGGTCCTGGCGGACAAGGTCAGAGCCGCAGGGCAGAGCTCTGCCCACCTGGGCTTGTGGCAGCAGGTGGTTACCATCTTGGAAATCCTTTAAAGAAAAGTTATTCGTGACACCTGTTGAAGATGGGAAGGAAGACTTATTTCAGGAGAAACTGCAGTGGCGTTTTGCAGTAGGGGAGACAGATCAGGCTCAACTCTGACTACAAGGACAAGTGCCAGGGAGCAGGGTGGGGTCAGTGGATGGAAAATGACAAGAGGAGACATCAGCGCTGCGGGATGTTTGCTAGACCAACTCACTAGGACTCTTTGGAAGGCAGGCCATGGTGATCAGATACCAAGGGTTGGGAGAGGGAGTAGGGTTTTTTGCTATACTGCCCCAGCAGGATCCTTGTTAAAACCAAGGACAGAGCTCAAGGTTGGAGCCTGGTCAGAAAGAGGATTCAGAGGAGCCAATTCAAGTTTGGCCAGGGAGAGAGTTGTCCTGACGAGCACCTTTTCTTCTGAAAGAGCACCTCTTGCCACACTGTGTCCTTAGCCTCAGGCATGTCATTGTCTCAGCAGGAAGCTTCTTTTCATGCCCACAGCTGGCAGGATCCTTTGTGTTTTGCCCTAACAAAGGAGCTAGGGCCAAAATTCTGGATGAATCCTAGTTCCTCTCTTTTGAAAAGTGGCTGTAGGACCCAGGTGGATGGAGACTTCTTCCAGTGTCTGCAGATACTGAGCATGAATGCAAAAGGATCCATTTCATGGTGGGAGGGGGGACACCTATCAGACAGGAAGGGCTCCCTGCAAGGAGAGTTGCTGGAATTACTTTGCTTTTGGTAGGAGCAGTTTCTCCCACTGCTTCCGTATCTGTTTGGTGGAGGCAAGTGGGTTTTCAACAAGAAATCATAAACCACAGTATCAGAGGTGTCAGGGACAGAGGCCTACCTCTTCGTTTTATAGATGAGGAGCCCAACATCCAGAGAGGTTAATTCATTTGCTGAGGATCACCTAAGCTACAAATGTCAGAATTCAAGAACTTCACCTATGTCTTCCGGCTTCTGTCATCACAGACAGCGCGTTCTTCTCCAGACTGCCCTAGCATGGAGCTACAAGAAGGTAAAGGAAACACCTGCAGGCACTCTTAAGCAATTGTAACATTAACACCAATGTAGCAATTAAAAATATTAATAATGTCTAACATTTATTGGGAGTCCTTCCAGAGTATTAACTTAGTTCTGGTAATCATCACAATAACCGTCCCAATTCACTAAATTCACTAGTTCTTAGGGCTTTACTTGATTTCTCTTGTCTAATTGCATTGGCTGATATCTCCAGTACAAACAGTAATGGAGATGAGCGGACATCCTTGATTTTTTTTTCTTAGAGGAAATGCCTCTGATGCTTCCCGTAAAGATGTTATCTTTAGGACAAAATCATATATTTTCCA